GGCTTCCCAAGACATGCAAGTCTGGTCAGAACGATCGACCCCCATTCAGTTTCAGGTACAGATTATATAGGCCCACACAGTCATTACACAAAAAGCATTCCTCAGCAGACACTTTAATCAATCATCTTCTAAAAGCTATAGTTTTGGTTAAACATCTTTTCCAGGAAGGGTAGATCTGGTGTAAGCCTGGCGCAACCTCCCTCTTTTGTTCCTTATCAGTTATCTGGTGTGTGCAAACAGGCCTACAGGACACATTGTAAATCAACTGAGTCTGGGGTCCAGGGTCCAGGGTCCAGGAAGGAGGTTTACAGCACTTCAATTCTTAGCATTTCAACTAGGTTAATCATCCATGTGTGGTAGATACAATCAGGCAGAACAGGCAAGCTTAGCAAGTAAATCTAAATCAACATTTTAAACAGAGTTTTCTATCAAAATGCAGAGTTCTTACAGCATTCATCAAGGTATTTCATTTTTTTCCCAACACTATCAGCCCAAGAGGAATGTTACATGCAGTAAAGCTGGAAGGGCTGAGCCACCTAAGCCCTTAGGAAGTAAAGTCCCAGAAGTCAGACATGGAACTATTGGATTTGGAGTTTGCCCTGCTGATTTTCAGTCTTTTTTGGTTCAGTATTTCCTCACTATGCCCCTGCTCCTCCCTTTTGGAATGGGAATGTGTATTTGGTTCTGTTGTATGTTGGAAGTAGGTAATTTGTCTTTTGAGTTTACAGGGGCTTACAGTTAAGAGATTGCTTGAGTCTCAGAAGAGACTTGGACTGTGGACTTGGAATAATGTTGAGACCGTTAAAGACTATGGGGACTTTTAGGTTGAACTAAATACATTTTTGCATTTGATATGGTCATGAGCTTATGGGGACCAAGGAGTGAAATGTGGTTGTTTGAACGAGAATGTCCCAATAGGTTCCAAATATTTGGACATTTTTGTCTCCACCTAATGGTACTTTTTTTTTTTTTTTTGAGATCTTAGGCATGGCAAGGGGGGTCAATGGGGCAGGCTTTGAGAGATTTAAGCCTGCCAGATTTCCAGTACTCTGCTTCCTGTGCTTGCTTGAAGATGTGAGAATCCCTCTTTCTGCTCCCAGCCACTGTCTGCCACCATGCCTCCCTGCCACGACAGACTGATCCCTCTGGGACTGTAAGCAAAATAAATTCTTCTCTAAGTTCCCTTGGTCATGGTGTTTCATCACAGCAACAGAAAAGTGATATACTTGCCTACTACCTTTTATCCTTTTTTTAAAAAATATTTTAAGCCAGGCGTGGTGGTGCATACCTTTAATCCCAGCACTTGGGAGGCAGAGGCAGGCTGATCTCTGTTAGTTCAAGGCCAGCCTGGTCTATATAGTGAGTTCCAGGACAGCTGGGGCTACAGGGAGACCCTGTCTCAAAAAGACCAAAAAAAAAAAATTATTTTGGTGTGTGTGGTGCATGGTCATGTGTGCACATACAGAAGCCAGAGGAGGGCATTGGGTTTCTTCCTTTCTCTCTCTTTGCTTTATTCCTTTAAGACAGAATCTCTTCTTATTGAACCAGTTTACCTGTTGCATCCAGGCTGGTCAGCCAGTGAACTTCGAATATCTGCCTGTCTTACTTCCCAGTACTGGGGTTACAGGTACAAGCAGCCATACCTGACTTATTTATGTGGGTGCTGGGAATTCATCTCATCTGCCCGTGAAGCTTTAGTTCTGATGTGAAACCTTTGCTCATTTTAAGGTTATCAGTTTAGTGCTACCTTTTTTTTTTCTTTTTTTGGTCTTTCTGAGACAGGGTCTCCCTGTAACCCCAGCTAGCCTTGAACTCACTGTGTAGACCAGGCTGGCCTTGAACTCACAGAACTCTGCCTACTTCTGCCTCCCGAAGTGGTGGGATTAAAGGTGTGCACCACCAGTCCGGCTCAGTGCTACATACTCTTTTCACAGGCGCTTCTCTTATCTGCAGGCTCATTAACGACTGCCTCATGCCTTACTCATTTTTGCCTCTAAAGCATTTAGTATAGTCACCTACTCAATAAATATTTGTTGAATGAGTTGTAAGCTCAATGAGCTGCTTCTTTTTAAAACACATTCCTGATGACTCTTTAAAAAGTTTAACATGGGACTCTCACAGAGATGGCTCAGCAGTTAAAGAGCACTGACTGCTCTTACAGAGAACACAAGTGCGCTTACATGCATGCAGGCAATACACTCATACACATTTTATGTGTATCACTCATACACGTAAAATAAAAATATAGAAAGTTTAGTGTACATTCTGCTAACACATTTTATTTATTTTTATGTGTATGAGTGTTATGCCTGCATGTACATAAGTCGTGTAGTGCCTGTGGAGGACAGAAGACAGCGCTGGATACTGTGGAACTGGAGTTGAGGCCAGTTAGCAGACGCCATGTGGGTGCTGGGATTCAAACTCTGGTCTTTTCCAAGAGCAGGCAGTGCTCTTAATTGCTGAGCCATTTCTCCAGCCCCCATAACACATTCTTATAATGTAATAATATGTTGCTGCAGATATATTCATTTTACATTAAAGTAAAAAGAAAAACAGCCAGCAGAGTAATTCACTCCAAGAAAGCAGTTTAAATTGCTGTTTTTATTTGCTACCAACGTTTTTATTATAAGAAATACAAAAGGTATGACAAATGCACAAACCATTTTCTGTTTTTGCATCAATCAATTTAGCTGGCACATAAGTGAATTCAATGGACAGTTACATTTGAACACCAATTTTGAAAAAGCAATGAATTCCATTACCTGATAATAAATACCTAAATTTGCATTCTAGCACCCAGTAAGACATCCAGTTTCCAAAGGAGTATTGATCTGTGACCCTCCATACTTCATGATCAGTTTCCTTTGCCACTGCAGCAATTTACCATTGTAATTCTCTCTGAGAAGTCTCAGAATTAAGATGCCTGCAGAAACCCCAGGTCATCCCTTACCTGAGCTGCTTTTAAGAAGACTTCTAGTAATGGGGTATTTCTTAGCAGTTGAGGTCCTTGGATTGACATTTTACACAATACACACTCCTGCTTTTCTATTCTCTTAAGTGGGAAGGGTACTGATAAACTGACCAGTATTTTCATCTGCTTCAAGGGAAGGGAGAGAACATTTTCAGCTCAGGTACATGAAGGGTAACCTTAGAGATATACTTTTGTGTTTTTCCCCAGGAGGGCTTTCCATGTGTAATGGGGAAAGTTGTTAGAGTGACGAGGGCCCACATGCCCTTCCATTCTGTTGCTGCCTGTACCCAAGGCCATTTTTCTTTGAGGACCAGTAACCCAAATAGGTAGGGATGTCAGAGAGGATATGCCACACATCCTCTCTAGTATAGCACAGGGTTTATAGACCCTTCTAAGAAAGATCCCTGGGTGGACCTGGCAGGCCAGCCTAGTAACTCAATCTAGTGTGCACAGAAACGAGCAGATGCAACATCAACACCAAGTCTCTTGTTGGCATGATGTTAAGACTGTGTTCCAGGCAGTGATTTTCCACACTGCTTCTCTGACCTGCTGACCACAAAGCACCAAAACAGAGCATTCTGTAGCAATGTGAGCAAATGGAATGAGAGTAATTATGCACCTTGAGGGAACATGCACCCTGATGTCTGGACCCTGATATTAAAATAGCAGAATGAGTTTCAAGTATGAAGAAATACAGTGAAAATAAAGCCTCTGGATGGATAGAAAACAGCAGCCTGGAATGTTTTTCTTCTGGGACCGCAGCCAACACTGAATGATCTGTAGAATGACTTGGTTTGAAGATCAAGATGCTCACAGAGATGCTAGAGGGCATTTATGACTGACGTCATGAGTGCATTCTGTACCCGGCATCAGGAATTATCTCTTGATGACTGTGGCTAGCCTAAGGCCAAGTGGGGGTGGTGGCCAGGCCTAGGCAAGCACACTGTGGTGCTTAAAGTATTTCTCATCATGTGCTTGATGCTCAAAAATTAATGAAGGAGGTGGAGAACACCAGAGGTACAGGTCAGGGTGGTGGCAGGGAGCACCTTAGGAGGAAAAAGAGATGCAGAAATGGGATATACAGTGAGGGAATGCTGGGCATCATGGGCTGGTTCACACAGTCTAGATTAACATCTGATGTGCACAACCTCTATAATTCTACAACTGTGATTTCCAATCCAGAAACCAACAAGTCAAATGTCCAAATGAGTATTTCTTTTTACCTTTAAAACATTTTCTATCTTAAGAATAAGTCAAACAAAAAGCAGCTTACTGTGTATTGAAACCTAGAAAAAGTTTAGTCCCTATGGGAATACAGATACATTAATACATCTTATATGAAAAACATGCTTTGACACATCTCAGAAATGATAATCCTATAACAATCGCTACTGCTAATCACACTCTGTGGGAACTCAAACTGTGCTCTTGACACATACTGCTCTTCTACACCAAACACTTGCCCTTTAACCCTCAGTTCAAACTGGAAATATCAGAAATGCAACAAGCTTTTGAGGTGTTGGGAACTACTGATATTTAAGATCCCTTTGTACCTGCAAGCCTGGCTTTTTAACATGAAGCTGGATTGTTTCTGTATACAGCTAAGTTGCCTAAAGCCTGGAAACCTGGAGTTCTCTATCTGACATTTTCTGGAAACCTCAAGGCATAAGATGCCAGTTGTTTCTCTAGAACACTTCACATTTCTGCCTTCTCAACAGCATTGCCTGTTCCCATCACTGCACACGACACCTACAAAAAGCACTAGATTGAACAGGGACGCTTCTTCACAGGACCAGACAAGAGGCACCACCGAGATGCCTATCTCTGCCTGGCGTTCATTTCGCTGGCCACCTGGCACAGTTCCTAAATTAGGGCAGTCTCTAACATGCTTTCCTGCCTTTAGTTTCTGCTGCAATCTCACACTATACTAAATGCTTCTCTGTCAAAAGCAACAACTACAAAGTCCTTTGTTTTACTTAACATAACAAGATATTTAGACACCAAAAGTACTACCTCTACAACTGAAATCTAGTAACCATGTTAAAACGCATGCAGCTTAATCTGGGGGTTTACTCTAATTTTTGTTTCCTTAGCTCCATCAACATCATGATCATGATAAATCCAAGTCCTAGTATCTTCTGTCTTCAGTTGCACTTTCACAGGACTGGTGTGGTTTAGCAATAAATAATATACATGAATAATAATAGAAATAATTTATGTAGGTGTAGAGCTTGACAAAAACTCCCCATTTGCTAAGTGCTGTTCCTAGTATGCTATTAATTCCATGTACTAATATATTTATTACTGTTTTTAGGTAAATAATGAATAAAAATGAGAACTGTAACATACATGAGTATATTGTTGCAAACAAGACCAGAGTGAAAAGACACATGATTGGAGGATGATGTCAAGAAATGGATTATTACTGAAATCTATTTCAGTCATTCAGAGATGCTGGTGATCACAGAAATATTGCTAGCTAATACCTGTATTGCATTTCATAAAATTTAAGATTAGAAAACTTCAAGTAGGGGTACAGAGGGTATCTGCAGAACATCAGCCTATGTGCATCAACAGAATTTGGTTAGAAACCCCCGAGGGAGGAATTCTGTAACTGTGCGGTTTGTATGTGATCAGTGCTAGGCATTATTCTTGGCAGTTCATATGTGGCTCTGTGTCCCCCTTACGAATACCTACATGTGACAGTCCAAAGGGATGTTATTTGTGTGATCAAACAGTTCACACAAAAGCTTCCTCTAAATAGGAAAATCCTCTACTCTGTGAGATAATTTGCTTACTATAGAAAAAAGAAGAGATCAGAAGCTAAAGAATTAGGAGCTCCTGCCAACTGAAGTAGATAATTTTTCAAAACAAAACTTTCCCAGGAATATTTTGTCACCATATATGTAGAAGGATAGAAAAAAAAATTCTGTAACTATACAACTTAAAAAAAAGCTGAGCTTAGCGTGTGAGACATCTGGTGGAGGATTCAAAGAGCAGCAACCCTGCGTCTCTACACCTGAGCGGGCGAACTGTACTTATTGATGCTCAGAGGACAGCCATTTGCTTCCAGGATGTCCTGCTTCCTAAGATAGCACCACCTAAGCCTCTGAGACAGCAGCATCCCGCTGGGCGGGGCCTGGCAGCTACGCCCCTTGCCACTCTGCTAGGGGCGGGGCTCCGCGGAGCTGTGCCAGGTGGGGTGAACTTTAGGGCCGTTCAGATTAACAAACCTGGGTGGGAACTGGGCCCTTCACCCAGGGGCTTAGCCTGGAATCCGTTTGGTGGGAGCAAAGGGTGAAAAGGGTGGGTGATTTCTCAGAGCTCTGACAGTGCCTGGTGTGGCATTTCCATTCAGTGTGACTCACCCAGGCCTGCCTGCCTGCCTGCCACTCAGGAGGGAAGTCAAGCAGGTGTAATGAGTGTGTGCCACTCAGAAAGAACAAACCGCTTTCTGTCATGCTGTGCTACAGAGACTGAAATACAGTGTACATTCCCTCTACATCTCGTAAAACACTGGATCAGGGGGATAGGTTTCTGGGCAGAAATGTGAACTTAAAATGTATAAAGCTTAAAACTCTAAAAGTGGAGAAACTAGAGACAATGTAGACACCTTCCTAAGTTATTATGTTCAAATATGTAAACACAAAATTTAAGAATTAGCATCTAACTTATCTACATTTGCAATTCTACGAATGTAAAAACGCTCAGATTTTTCATTATTTTTAAGGCTGTCTCAGTATAGCAATTCCTTAGAAAAAGTTTCATGTCCTTGATTACTGATGTACTACTTATTTTGCTCACTTGATTTTAAAAATGAATCAGTGTCCCAGGACCACTAGGGGAGGGGAGGCAAGGGGAAAGCAGCATATAAGGTGTGTGGGTATTTTGACCAGTGGCCCTAAAGGAGTTTTATATTTCTAAAAAAAAAATCCTACTCACAGATGAGGGTTGCCTTTAAGAAGAAAGCCTGTATGTACTAGAACCTGAGGTAATCTGATACCTCAAAAATGTTTCTTGAATAAATGAAGAGGCTTTCTTTACTCACTTAAATGCCATCCTCAAGCATTATTTACAGTCATTCAGAGCCTACCAAGCAAGAAAAATGTAGAAGTTACAGAACATGATGAAAACTGTAAATAATTATCCTGAGAAACACAAGCTGGGTGAGAGTTAACGCTGTGCAGAAAAAGAAAGAAGACTCATCAGAAATTCTTCTTTAGCCCTGGTCAGATTTGTATGTTTCTCTGAGAGCACCACCTTGTGGAACATACTGGAACAGAACAACAGCAAAATGTGCTCAGATCTTAAGGCCCTGTGAATTTAAAAGTAGATTTCTGTTCCAGCTCCAAACTACCTTCCATTCTTGCTATTCTAACTTGAAACTGCTGTAAATAATGTTTCAATAGATGCTTGCAAAAAAGCCTGCACTTATTCTCAGGTGGCTACTGTTTCCTTCTTGAAGCTCAAGGTAGCCTGAGTACATTAAGCAGCTCCCCGAAAAATGCTAACAGAAAACATTCAGGAAAGGCAATTTGCTACTACATTTAAAAAACTCAAAAAAGCAAACTGAGAAAAAAACAATTAAAAATTATATCCCCCTCATTTTACAGTTCTCAGAAGACAGAAGGACAAAGGAATAGTTTTGGCTTATTTTTCTTTAAAATAATTAAAATAATTTTCTTTAAAAAAATTAGAAATGCTTTAGATATAAGTATGTATCAAAACTGGGCTAGAAATTGTATGATATAAAAAAGGCAAGATCAGTGTGGTGGCATTCATTTGCAATCTTAGCACATGAACAGCTAAGACTGGAGGCTGCCAGTTCCAGGCCAGCCTGGGCTATACAGACCTGCCCCTCCCCCAAAGGAAGCCAGTTTAAAAAAAAAAAAAAAAATGCAGGTGCTACCTTCTCATACACTTGAGGGACCAACATTATTAACCATCCCAGGATTTACATTGTGTGTCAGGCTTCAGTAGCATGAGGCTTTCCCATTGTGGAGAATGAATGTGTAAATATCTTCCTAACTATGTTCTTGGATGTAAGTATGCACATGATGAAAGATTTCTGGGTAAGGCTTATAATTTTTCAAAAATCTCACTGGCATAGGAGGCATTTACCTCTTAAAAATTTATTTTTATGATGAATATTCATAGCATGTGCAGTAAAGTGGAACTTCAGGTGGCACCTCTCTTCCTACGAAACGAGGCAGGAATACAGACAACTCTATTACTTCTCCATAAAACTTGCTTCCTAACATACCAAGTCCATAGTTGCAGGTGACTCTAATTTAAGTTCTTAAAATACACTTAAAGGCAAGTGTATCATTCAAAAATACACATAACTCTCAAATTATTTTGAATATCTTCTATTTTCTCCACAATGTCCTGTGTCAATTTTCTGCTGTTTTATAAATAATTTTTTTAGATTTAGAAATTATAAAATACTTTTATGTCACAATGTAAAACACGCATTCTTTTGAGGTCTTATCAGGATGTGCTAACACTAGTCATTATGGTGATATACTGACTTTTAACATTATTCTGTCCTAGACCCAAGTATGCAATAAAACTGTGCTTTTGGAAATAAAATGTGAGACACTCAAGTGCTTATCATAAAAATAGGTTCCAGCCGGGCGTGGTGGCGCACGCCTGTAGTCCTAGCACTTGGGAGGCAGAGGCAGGTGGATTTCTGTGAGTTCAAGGCCAGCCTGGTCTACATAGTGAGTTCCAGGACAGCTGGGGCTACAGGGAGACCCCTGCCTCAAAAAGACCAAAAAAAAAAAAAAAAAGAAAAAAGAGTCAGGTTCCTACTTAAAAGAAGAGCAATTCTTCGGACAGAAGAATTTTAGTACATGTATGAAATTAATGTTTACATGATTTAATTTCTATAGTGGAATGAAAATTGCCAGAATTGACTTTAATAGGCAGCATTTTAAAAAGAAGCAGCTATGTAACTTAAAAAAAAAACAACAAGTTAAATACATAATTTAAAGTTCAAAATTTGGGTATTACTTTCTCAACAAGATGGCTAGCACTCCATTCTAGTGCTAAACTGTACACCTTTGTATTAAACACAATGTCTTTAAGATGGTAACATCGAGTGCATCCTGGTATTTTCATTTTTTCTTAAAAAGAATGTGCTGAGATTCTATTTTTAGATAAGTAATTTTGGGCTATTTTTAGTAAATCACCTGGGGCTAAATTCAAGTCTACCATTCAGTGAGTGGGACCTGAGAGAAAGCAGTGAGAGTCAGGGGCTGAAATGGCCACAAGCCAATCCAAACAGTTTCTCTGCTTCTTGAATTCCCATCCTCTTCAAGAGGGACAAAGTGGGAGGCTCCAGCCCACTGGGTTCTTACAAGCTCTCAGGAACTGTGTTGCTAAGGGTTATGACTCCTTGCCACGTATCAGCTTATGAGGACTAAGTGGACAAGTTTATAATTACCCCCTCTTTTTCTTTCTTTCTTTCTTTCTTTCTTTCTTTCTTTCTTTCTTTCTTTCTTTCTTTCTTTCTTTCTTTCTTTCTTTCTCTTTCTTTCTTTCTTTTTTCTTTTTTCTTTCTTTCTTTCTTTCTTTCTTTCTTTCTTTCTCTTTCTTTCTTTCTTTTTTCTTTTTTTTTTTCAGACACTGTCACAACTTTGCCACCCTGCACAACAATCCTCAGGTCTTGGCTCCAGCACTGAAGCTCCAAATGAAATAATCAGGCATCTAGCACCAGTCCTGCTAGTTCACATCTGTCTTGGTATTTTTCCTTGCTATAAGCTATTCCAGTAGAATCCTGGAGCAGCATAGCTTTTTTGATTAGCCTTTGAAAAAGATGTGGGAAAGCATATGCCACCGAAGGCTAAGTCATATTCACTAAGCTCTTATTCTGCCATGTTTCCACATGCTACTGAGGGCCTGAATAATAGCAAGGCTTCTTGTGTGGGAACCAGGTTTCAGAAGTGGTGAGCCTGGGTGCAAAGACATCCATCCAGAGAGAACTGCTCATGTGCAGCAACTGTACAAGCACAGAACTGGGGGAGAGACTTGTGAAGTTTAAAGAAGCCAGCGCCCTTTCATTCTGTGCCATGGAAGGATACAGCACGCCAAGTCTCTAATACTAAAATATTTGTGCTTTCAATTTTCTTTACAGATATTACTTAGAAATAAGCCCAAAGCAGATGACAAAAATTAAGTTGAACTTTGTACTTAAAAATTCTAAAGAATGCCAAAAAATTCCAGTTTAGAACAGCTGTATTTTTCTTAAGCAAAGTTACAGAAAAACTTTATTGCAAAAGCAAAATACTCAAAGTTATGCTCACTTTATTACATGAATGCTAATCATAAAGGTCATGATGAACTGGTGTAGTGAATTTTAAAATCTGATTTCCAGGCCCAGTAAATATCTGTTTTGAACCTTGATCAAAGGCAAGGCAGAAAACTCACCGTCCAGGTGAGATCTGAGCAGACTGTGTCCTGATACTCTGGATTCATTCTAGCTCAGGCAGTTACTGTGCTGACAACACTTCTCTAGGACTGTCAGTGAAGCATACACATTCTTGTGGTGGCCCAGCTTCTTTTTTATCTTACTTTAAAAAGAAAGAAAGAAAAAAAGAAAATCCTGTTCCTCAAGCTACTAATCAGAAGAATGTTAATATATATTAAAAAAAGAATAGTTCCCCAACCCAAAAGTTCTCAAGAAGAGACCATCTAATTATTCTCTATTCAAAATAATCACACTATTAAACTATGAAGAATTCAGTAAGGCTCAATAATTCACAAACATCACTTGAAATCTTTACTACTATGTGAAACAATGACCATTCTTTGAAAGCTCTAAGTCTAAATATGATCTAGCTTTTATGTCCATGCACTCAAAACATGATTCAAAAGTACAGCTAAACTTCCCAAAAGATACTTTGTCTTTTGGCAGCTAGTGCCAGCTCAGCACTAACATGGGTATAAGGCAGAGGTGGCATAGAATATAAAGGACTGAAGAGAAAACAACAACACGAGGGTACAGTTGTGTTCAGTGCCCAAGGTCATGTGGCTCTGCACAAAGCAGGGCTGAGCACAAGGCACTAGAAAAAGCACAGCCTGGGGAAGGAGAGCGAGATCATTTTAGAGGGTAAATAGGTATCTCTAAAAGAGGAAAAGAAAGACATTCCCTCAGAGAGTATTTCTAAAAAAGAGGAAAAGAAAGACAATCCCTCAGCTATTATAATGACAATATATGCTACAAAATGTCAAACACTAAAAAACAGTTGATAGTAATCTATATGCTGGTGACAGGCAGAACACGTATCCTACTCACTGGCAAAGTGACGTCAGTGATGACATCAGGGAAGACTACATTAGAAGAACTTATGGGATCCTGTTAGGGTTGCAGAGCTGGAGCCATCAACTATAACTGAAGCTGAGTATCTGCCAACATTCATTGGGAGACAGTAAATAAGCAAGCAGGTGGTGTGTGGACAGCTTTAGCAACCTGTCATGAGTTAGGTAATATGTTAGCGGTGCTGGAGATGGAGAAGGAGGCCACTTCATAAACATGGCAGAACAAGGTAGTGCGCGGTAGAAAGTACAGTGGAGCAGGTGGAGAAAACGTAAATGGCATTCCTGTCTCGAGTGAGAACCATGCTTCAGACCAAAGCAGGAAGCAAATTCCTAAAAACAAAGAATAAAATAACAACCAAAAAATGCAGAGATAACAACATTTCAAACCAGAAAACACAGGCATTCTCTACTTTTTTAACCTATTTGAGGTACACTTCCTAAAACTATTGTAAGTAATAAAAAAGCTTACAGGGTATTTTCCAAAAGAATAAAGTATACTATATAAGACTCAGGGTGAGTAAATTCAGCTTTTCAAAGAGTAAATAGAATTGCATACTTAAAAAAAAAAAAAAACAGACTAACCAACCAAACCAAACCAAATAGGTTTTTTAAAAGATACTAGGTTTTTTTTTTTTTCCTTTTTGTTGTGTCTATAACTTTATCTTTTACTGTGAGCAAAAAAACTTTTGGACAGAAAGGAAATGCTGAGGACTTAGGTTCAACTTTCTAATTGGAGAAGACTATGCTAGTGAATCACCTTCAGTGAACGAGTGCCTATTACTATAGGTCACTTTGAGTCTTTAAAATTCAATTATTCTTGTTGCCTACAAAAGTAACACTTTAGGAGATCAGAGATCTCTCACACACATACATACACACAAGTACCAAAGCAGGCCCAGCAGCTGCGGACAGATTACGTCATTACTCAGCTGGGCCTGGATTACCCACCCAACACTGGCAGCATTCAAGGTTAGAAAAATGAAATGGCAGCACAATTGGTCAGCAGCTTCTCTTCTTCTGGAAGTGTTCCAGGTTCTTGAAACAAACAGACAAACAGACAAGTGAACAAACATAAAGCTGCAATCACTCTTGCATTGATTTCAGAACAGTAAACTAGGCGGTTTCCTTGGTGAAGCAGAGCCCATCCAGAAGCCGGTAGTTGGAAGGCCTGCAGCCAGCCGTCCACATGCTCTGCAGGGCTTGCTCAGGGGGACCCGTCAGCCACCAAGGTGTTCTCCAGATGACCAGCTCATGGCAGCTCTGGGGACCTCAGGCGGTGTTCAGCTCCGAGGTGTTTTGGCTGGATGGCAGGTGGGAATCTAGGCTTTCCTTGCATCTCTCCAGGTCTTGGAAGTATGGGTGATTCAGGGCACCATAGGCAGATATTCTCTTGGCTGGATTAAATGTCAAGCATTTCTGTAATAAGAAAACATCTGATCTAAAACATATCAAGTACAGTACTGTTGCTTATACACTGATGGCTCTGGAGGAAGTCTTAGAAAAGGTGTTTAAAACTCTGTAACTGTTCTACTTTAGGAATAAACTAGCTAACATGAAACTAAAAAAAGAAAAAAAATAAAAACCAAACCAAAAACCTTGTATAATAATACTGTTTCTGTAAGAATTTAATTTGATTGCCAAATAACTGACTTAAAAAACCCCACCTTTTATAAATGCAACTTATTTGCTGGTGTAGCCCCAGCACTTGGGAGGCAGAGGCAGAGGCAGAGACAGAGAAAGGCAGATTTGTGTGAGTTCAAGGCCAGCCTGGTCTACACAGTGAGTTCCAGGCTAGCTGGGGCTACAGAGAGACCCTGTCTCAAAAAGACCAAAAAAAGTGCAACTTATCCAAGGGCTGAACACTTTGGTAGGCTTGGAGGAACTTTCTTGTCTTTCCTCAGTTGGTCTTGGCCATGTTACTGGCCTAGGCCTTCAGTGGTGTCACATGTTTCTTCTAGGAGCTTCTAGGAGAAAAACATGCCACAGCGAGCTACAGCCTCCTGGCTTGCGTGAGAAGAGCTGTGTGTGAGCCACAGGTAGCTCTCTAAAGAGGTAAATGACACACTTACTACTTGTGGGCTCTGACTCCAAGAGCAGCACAGAGTAGGAACAGCTCATCTCCTAGCACAGGGGATTATACACAACATCAAGAATTAGAAGTTTGGACTGGAGAGATGGCTCAGCAGTTAAGAACACTGGCTGCTCTTGCAGAAGAGCCAGGTTTGATTCACAGTCCCCACATGGCAGCTAACAAGCATCCATAATTCTAGTTTCTAGAATCTGACACCCTCTTCTGACTTCTGCAGGCATTGCATGACACATGTGCACTTACATGCAGGCAATACACTCATACACTTAAAATAAAAATAATAAAAAAATACTAAAAAAAGAATTAGAAGTTTGAGTTTCAGAGGACAGAAATAAGTCTTTTCTCTTTTTTTGAGAAAAATATTTTATTTTAATTATGTGTACATGTGTCTCTGTGTGGGCATGTGCACATTATTGCAGGGTGCTGGAATTGGACAGAGAAGGGGGTTAGATCCCTTGGAGCTTAGTGTTACAGGAGGTCGTGAACAGCTTGATGTAGGTCCTGGAAACTGAACTCAGGTCCTGTATAAGAACAGTATGTGCTCTTAACAGCTAAGCCATCTTTCCTGCCCCAGAAGTGTTTATTTTCAATGAGATATTTTATATAAAAGATATTTTATATAACACATTAAATACTTACTAATTACTACCTAGAAGGACTATTGATACTTGGCACCTTTGGAAAAACACATTTGCAAAGATGTGACTGACATTAAAATGACAGACAAGTTGCTTCAAGTGGCATGAAAGTTTAGAAAAGGAAACATAATAGTCACTTGTAAAGAAGCGCATGGCCAAGTGAATCCAGGCTTCTAAGACTTCATTCAAATATGCATTCAAGATATGGCATCAAGAGTTGGATCAGGAAGATATTCCAGAATCAAAGGCCACCCGTTGGAAACAAAATCCACAGGGAGCCTGAAGCCTCCTGCTCTGTGTGGCTGTGGCACGTGATGCCTGTGCTTGCTACACAGTCTGCATGGGTGCAGACCAACAGTATTCCGGGAACTTACCAGAAGTAGGTCTTTGCCTAGTTCGTCGATGTCCGTCACGAACTTCTCAATGGGTTGGGCAGATTTGGAATGGAAAGCCTGCCTGGGAAGGGCCACATCTCTAGGCCAGTCTTCTTCCCCTGGAAGTCCAATTACGCTGTGGAAGAACCAGGTGTGAACGTGAGCTCAAGCTTGTACAAAGCCCTTCCTCTCCAAATTCTACAACAAGCAAAGCTTTATGACTTGGAGGACTTCTCACTTATCTTTGCCCTACTGCCACAGGGGGGAGCACAGGGCACAAACAGAGTACACTGTGGGCTTCACTGGCAGGAAGTAAGCGAATTCTCTGTAGCAGATGTTAAATGGAAGGGATGAGGTGAGAATGGAACGTGGACTTCCAGGGGCAAGTCCTGATTCATGGACAAGGCAGAGCCTACTGTTCTGAAGGAGACCCACCTGGATATATAATATCCCTCTCTATGCTCAACAGTGCTTCGCTTTTTGAGTTCTGAATGAATAGTTGTAAAGACATGCTTTCATGATGTTCATCCAACATGGCTCATGGACACATTAATTTGGTTAAGATTTTAGTTAAAAGAGTAATTCTTCAAATGACTATATAAATTAGACTCAAGCAAAAATAAGATGAAAAAGTATTTCAGTTCTGATACAGACACTATTTAATAGTCCTCTAAAGTGAGTAAACAGTAAATTAAAAGGATGTCACCTGTTTCCTCTGACAACCATTCTGGGACCAGAAATTTGGAAAGCCTGCCTGGGAAAGGCAACAGCAAGAAGGAACAGCAAGATCTAAAAAGAGCACAGGCTTTGGAAATAGGTAGATGTGGCTTCAAATTCAGCACCTGCCCTTAATTGGCAAGAAAAGACAAATTACTTAACATCTATGAGCCCTGGTGTCTTTATATATATGATGATGGTAAGTTACAGTTATAGTGAGGATTAGTGATCATTGATTTAAACTGTACACTGCAGTGCCTGGCATACAGTATATGCAGTCAATATCAGTATTAATTATTGGCAGTTTGGTACCCTACATAATCTATACATTACGTAGATGTTACTTACTGTTCATGTATAGGTGGTTAAGTTTATTTGGACAAGGGAAATGAGAGGGTGCAAGAACTTATTAACCCACAGATTATAGGTAACACTGACCTAAAAAAAATCCCATAGTGTAGTGGACAAGATATACAGTTATTCAAATACTGAACTAAACTATTTTAACCCCAGTTAGAAATGGTGCTGGCCTGCATTAAGGTTTTCTTGTTGTGCAGCTCCTGGAATTAAGGCACAGAAGGGGTAACCACAAATGTCTTTGTAGGTTTCAGAAGGTGGGGTAGTAAATGTCACAGGATCTGTAGGGCTTTGTTACCTTTTATTTCCCTTAACAGAGCCCAGATCACAGAAGGAAGACCAGGGTCCCCATCACATGTCACTGGGTATCTGGGGTAAGATACTAACCCCATCCCTGCTGGGCACCTGGAGAGAGCCATATTACTGTGGCATAAAAAGACAGACTCATGGACAGATTTACCAGAAGTAATGGGCAAAGATCACAACTCAAGCAATATGCAAGTGTGCTCAACAGCAAAGTCTATGATAGGGGTGAAGAAGAAAATAATATACGCATATATATAATGGGGAAAGAAGAAATAAAAAACATTGTGGTTAATTATGCTTGGAAAGAATGGGAAAGGGCAGAGCAGAAAAAGAACGTTTTTTAACAGCAAGTTGAAACTTCCATCCCTTTCTAGCCTTTCTTTAAATTTTAATTTAATTTAATTTTTAAAATTAATTTATTTTTATTTTATGCCTATGAGTGTTATGCCTGCATGTAAGTGCACCCGTATCATGCAATGCCCATGGAGGTCAGAAGAGGGTGCTGGATCCCCTAGAACTGGAATTATGGACAGTTGTTAGCTGCCATGTGGGTGCTGGGATTCAAACCCAAGTTTTTTTCAAGAACAGCCAGTGCTCTCAACTGATGAGCTATCCCTCAGGACCCTCTAGCTTTTCTTGTAGCAACACTTTTGCATATCATCGTCAGTCACCTAGGAACTTATTATAATGATTCTTAGAAAGAAGTTAAATAATTTTACTAGCAGCCTTTTTTTTTGAGACAGGGTCTCACTATGTAGCTGAGGCTGGCCTCAAACTCATAATCCTCCTGTCTCAGCCTCTCCAGTGTCAGCAGCTTTGAACATACCTATAGAGTAGAAATCTTAATGAATATGGCAGTCAGAAGGTGAATGCTTTCAGAGAAACAGCAGGTATCTGCATGTATGTATGCATATATATGTGTATATATGCATGCACATATATGTATGCATACATACCCACATGCATACAGGAATACATAAAAATAAGACAAAGTCTATCACCTCCTCTGACCCCTGTGAAGACCTTGGGAGACATGCAGGTCAGGTGTATCATCCCACTTTAGAAACAGGGATACTGAGAATGGGAATTAAGAAAGACTGCCAAAGAAAACACAGTGCCAGATAGAAGAGACCTCCCTTAGCGTGACAAGCATACCATACAGTACTCATCAAAGAAGTTTCTTTTTGCAACAGATCGAGGCTACTGCAGAGCTGCACGTCTGGTCAGGCACAGAGAACATACACCTGGGAGAGGCCCGTTGCTCCCACATCTGCAGTCAAATCTCTGCAACTAAGACTCATGGAACATAATGGAGTAAAGGTAGAGAGAGGGGTAATGCACTACTCAGCTCTCACCAGTGAGGCTTCCATGTACATGAGAGTGCTATGCACACAGAAGGCCACAATTGGCCAAGTTTTTGAGAATAAGAGACTTTAGAGTGTAGGATGGGATTCCTATATGGAGCCTCACTCATCCACGGCTCAGGGACCATTGCAGAAGAGGAGGCGGAAAGATTATAAAAGCCAGGGCTGGTTCATGACCACAGGGAGGTGGAGGCCTCCAGACCACTGGAGGCTTGCTCCTGTGCACTTGTGGTAGTGTGACATCGAGTCTGGGATCCATGTCAGCTCAATTAAACAAGGGCCCAAAGGGGAGGTGAGAAACAGGTGGCGGGCCAGCACTAGATTGAGAACTATTTGAGACTAATTGCTGCTGGGTGAGGGAGAGTATGACTTACATACAACCATTGGATGGGCTGACTAGACTCCAGTGGACGCATTTACACTGAAGGACATTTGGGTACAAACACCTGAATGAATAAGACTCAGCGTGTATGGCAGAGTGCATAGGGTTTGATGGGAGGATAGGGGGAAGGCATGGAAGGGGGAGGGGGTCTGGATTTGAGTGGGAAAGGTTGTATGAAATTTAAAAGGCTCAATAAAAAAAAAGGAAGACTGCCAAATCCTGGGCGAGATGGCGCACACCTCTAACCCCAGCATGTGGGAGGCAGAGGCAGGTAGAGTTCTGTGAGTTTGAAGCCAGCCTGGTCTACATAGCAAGTTCCAGGTCACAGGGAGATCTTGTCAAAAAAAAAAATTTACCAAAACCAAAATTAAAACCAAAAAAGAATGACTGCCGAGGTCACATACTACAGGTTCAGCCCCAATTCTCCTTCCTGCAAATCCAGTATTTTATTTCTGTTTAACTATGATACTGCTCTTTAAAAAAAACTGTTCTAAATGTCATGGGCTAAACATCACTACTTTATTTAGAAGTACCTGCTGTTCTTTGAAAGTACAAATCTCCTGTTTGCCTCTTTAAAAGTATGAGAATATGACTTTCCTTAAAAAAAAAAAAAATTCCACTTTACGCCCAGCATGAACTATCACAACCACAGCGAGCATTGTGAAATCGTGACTGGCTCCTAGAAGATGCTTGTGTCACATTTTGCTATTTGGACAGCTGAATAGAAACTGTAAAAGTTGACATTTATACTAGAAAGACTGACAGGGCACAAAATCTGTAAAAGATTGTGTGATGGTGGGGGTAAGAACCATTTTTCAAGTATTAAGCAGTGACACTAGGGTGCAGCACTGTCCCTTTTCTAGAGAGGAGCATTCAGAAGAAATGAATGCTCCTAGGACAATCCAGAGGCACAGAGCGCACAGAGCTTTGAGGCTTTTCAGCTACCAATGTTGGAGGGCCAGCCTTGGCACTAAAAGCTGAACTGGCTTTCTCTGGGGAGGAAGTCAAACACACTGGTCCAAGGTCCCTTCTGGCTCAGTGTCCTGGCTTCGTGGACTGAAGGTACTTGCAAAGCTATACACTTGTAAAAAACTGTTCTGGAGGTGGCCAGGAATCCTAGGTGTATGGAAGGGAAAGCAGGTGATGGCCTCTAGTACCAGACACATCAAAGTCAAGACTGCCTTTCCTTTCAACAGAGAGATACTAGAATGCTTACTTTCCCAGGTCCCTCTTGAAGATCACATGCACACAAAATACATTCCACAGTCCTTGGAGAAAAATACAAGAGGCCAGCAGTGAATGACTGAAGGACTTGATATGCAGAAGCCGGGTAGCTGGAGGCTTAGTGGAAAACATGTCTACTTATCTTATAGGGTGATCAGGAGAAGCAATGGAGGGCACCTGCCCTTGGACTTGGGAAGTTCCCAGATGAGACAAGATCAAACCACAGCAAACCAAAAAAAATCTATACAACCACAATAACAGAATAAATAAATAAATAAATAAATAAATAAATAAATAAATAAATAAATATATCCTCCCTCAACAAATAAAACTAGTAAATGTTCTTTCAGCCTCAAAGCAACTAACTGGGTTCTGGCTCAGTGGCAGTCAGCTTCCATTTGAATTACAGGTTTTAAGCAGTCAGGCTTGAATAGATAATTCTGTAAGGGCATACTTTGTTCCCCAGTCTTACAGATTTTAAATTCCACAAAACTCACTGAGGTTCCTCCTATAAGGTGTCACTAACCAACGATCGTAGTGATTTTTGGTCAGAACTCCTATTTTCTTTCCATTCCACCCCAATTCTGATGGGGTTTGGCAAAAGCAGAAATCCAAAAGGGATGCCACACCGCATGCCTTGTGAAGAGAAAGGACCCAGTTACATTCTAGCAATGTGAGAGCATGCACATCCTCACATGCATGAACATGTACACATAAATGAAGCTTGGAAATCATCAACAACTGTAACCAACAACTGTAACCAAAGAATTTGAGCTCAAGAACAGCCTGCATGGAGAACTTGTCAGTTTTGTTTCTCAGATGAAAGAGTTAAGGAACAAAAAAAGGGAAAATAATTATAGTTTGTGGGGCTCTGTGTAGTAAAACCTCTGTAGGATGTTTCAAGTGACTTCCCCAGCTTGTCGGGTTATTTAGCCACAGATGACGATGAGAACCTAGATTCTCACTCCTTCTTTTGGGTGTTGTAAGGGGAAAATGAGATTGGGTAGAATTTCATCTTTGCCTCAGGAAAACAAAAAAACACAAAACCAAGAAGGATGATCAATGATACTCAATGAGGACAGGAAGCCTAACTTGGATATGACTGGGATACTAGGCCACCAAGTGCCCCATCTCTTGTGAGTGGTACATCTGGAATGACACAAACAGACAACACATCTGCACTAAATAGGTTGGAGCTCAAAACTCAGCCAACCAAGGAGGAGCAGCAAAGACCCACCCAGGCCACACCAAGCTTCGAGCACAGCAGTCAGGTTACACGTGATAATGTCTACGAAAGACAGCACTTCTGCCCTGCCCCCACTCACCACACAACTAGTAACACTGTCTGCAGCAGTAGCTTGGGGCAAGAAAGACAAGAATAAGAGCATCAGTAAAAAGTCACTGTTAATATTTCATTGCTACAGACACTGATGTAAAATTAGAATTATTACTTACTCCAGGATTTTTCCTAGTTGATCCACATCTGAACTTCCACGAAAAAGAGGCCTAAAAGAATAAAGACATCTTAAAACAAGGCATTTTCTGAGGTTACAACATGTTAATCATTTGTCATTGTTCAACAGGAAGCAAAATGTTCTCTGTGATTGGGAGGAATTGACCCTGTCCTCTTTGAGGACGGCTTTCCATGCATTTCACTTATGGCAGGGCCCTCTCAGGTGGCATCTGACTCCCAGGTTTCACAATCCTGTGTCCTATTTGCAGCCCGTGCAACAATAAAGCTGCCAACATCTATAGGTTCAGGTTTCAAAGTTTAGCTTAACTTGGTGGTAGGCTGGATCCCATCACTGTCCTAGTCCCCATTATGGATAGATAGGATTCTCTGAAACTCTTCTTTGCAATGTTCTCAGAACATCTTTCACACCACTGCTCCCAGGGTATTTCTTTGTGGGTCTTCTTCCTGCCTTAGATCCTGCAGTATGCCACTGCTGGGTTTAAAAATATTTTATTTTTATGTGTATGAGTGTTTTGCCTGCATGTGTATAGTACAACATGGGCATGCAATGCCCATAGAGGACAGAAGAGAGGGCGTTGGATCTCCTGGAATTGGAGTTAAGGACGGCTGTTAGCTACCATGTGCGTGCTGGGAACCAAATCCAGGTCCTCTGCAAGAGCAGTCAGTGCTCTTAACTGTTGAGCCATCTCTCTAACCCCGGGTCTATGTTTTTAATTAAGTCCCTTTCTTTTTGTCAGTATTATAGCTGCTAAGCTTCACATGTTCAAAAACCTTAGCTATGGGCTTTGGAAGCAGCTGTGTCCTCTTCTGAGCTCACAGTGTTCCTTATCCAAATTGACCATTTCACTGTCAATGAAATACACTCTCTTTGTGCCATTCCTGATATTTTCCCAAGTAGACTGAATAGTCTTTTGAGGGTGGGGACGTCTCTGTGCTTTCCCATGAGTTTTATCCTAATGGTTTTCCCTAACTGGTATAGTTATTAAATACTTGTTTTGATTTTTGTGTATATCTATTGCACACAAGTAAATCTTAACTGCTTGCTCAACAAATGACAAAGTTATTTTTCTTTTGTTCCCTTTTTCTCTTTGTTTTTGAGTCAAGAGCCAAGAAACCCATCCTGCCCTGTAACTCACTATGTGGCTCAAGTCGGCCTCAAACTCATGGTTCTCCTGTCCTTAGCGCTTGACCACCATACATGGCTCTATTTTTCAATATTATCTGTTAAAAATATTTATACTCAATTATTAAGAATAATACTCCCTTATTTTATTAGGTATCAAATTATAAGACCTTAAACTTAACCTCTTAAATATTTTCATAGCATTTCAGTGGTTAGAAAACAGTTAAAAATTGCTTCCCCATACTTTCAACTTGTGTCATGTTCCTGAGAATAATTATTTCCAAATAAAGTGGAAAATAGTTTATTTAAGTCCATGTTATAGGCTGAACTGTGTTCCCTTCAAATTCTATGTTGACCTAATATCTCAGAATTTGATTGTATTTGGAAATGGCCCCTTAAAGAGGTAATTAAGTTAAAGTAGGCTGTTAGGGTGGACTCTAATTAGTTCTTCCTTCTACATATTTTTTGGTTAAGTAACAAAATGGAAAGATAACTGTTGTCTAAGGTTAACATATAAAGAAAAAAAAACTTTTTTGAAAAAAATTATTCAGGACATTACAAAAGCCTTGAGCTTGATGCATTTTAGTATTCTCAAAAACTATGATTACTTTAGATGACTTCCCAGCAGTTTAACCAAGCACTTATAATAGTACCACAATTAATATATTTATTATTTCTTCTTTTAAAAATATTTTATTACTTTTATTTTTTATGTGTACGAGTGTATTGCTTGCATATATGCAAGTGCACCCATGTCATGTGTTGTGCAGTGCCTGAGGAGGCCAGAAGTGGATGTCAGATCCACTGGAACTGGAGTTACAGATGGTTATTAGCTGCCATGTGGGTGCTGGGAACTGAACCCAGGTCCTCTGCAAGAGCAGCCAGTGCTCTTAACTGCTGAGCCACATCTCCAGGCCCTATTGCTTTCTTCTTAGTGAGATACAGATGTGAACACTGTCAGAGCAATACTTGGCAATCAACAGGTTCTCAGTAAACATGGAAGGAATAAATACACATTTAATACAATAAATACCACTTATTAATAAATAGAAAGTACAACTAAATTAGAAAACACTGCAGAAAACAGAATGCAGTCATTACTTATGATATAATCACTAATCACAAGAGATGTTTGCAGGATGAGATGGGTTAGTAGGTAAAATACTTGCTATATAAACATGAGGACTTGAGTTCAAATCCACAGGACCCATGGAAAGCCAGACTTGGTGGAATGCATTTGCAATCCTAGTGCTCCTATGGTGGTGGGGGCAGGGCAGACAGGAGAATCCCCTAAAGTGGGCCAGTTAGCCTAGCAAACAACAAAGAGACCTTGTTTAAAACAAGGGCCAACACCTAAGTTACCCTCTGACCTCCACACATGCCCACTCTGCCTCTCTCTCTCTCTCTCTCTCTCTCTCTCTCTCTCTCTCCTCTCTCTCACACACACAGATAATCACATTCTTCTATTTTAGACCTTCTCCTATTCTGAACTTCCATGCGAACTAGGACTCTGACATGTACACTTTGAAGACAATTTATTTGGTAAAATTTGTATGTGGGGGTAATGCCTAAAAATTGAATATTGCTATAAATATTTGGGTGGGTACAAGGTCTCACAAATGCTAAGTATACACTCTACCATTGAGTTCCACTTCACCCCTAACTCATCTATCATGAATTTTTATGAATGAAAATTTTAGGTTATTTCCAAGTTTTCCTCTCAGATATCCTCTTTCACACTTCATAATATTAGTGCTAAGGTAAAAGTCTGTTATTTATTTATTTATTTATTATTTTTATTTTATGTGTATGGGTGTATTGCCTACATGTACATGAGTGCACCCATGTCATGCAATGCCACCATGGAGGTCAGAAGAGGGCTTTGGATTCCCCTGGAACTGGAGTTAAGGATGGTTCGCAGCCACCATGTGGGTGCTGGGAATCGAACCCGGGTCCTCTGCAAGAGCAGTCAGTGCTCTTAACTGCTGAGCCATCTCTCCAGCCCCAAAAGTCTTTTTTAAAAGCAACACTGATTTATCTTTATTGTGTGTATGTGTATGTGTATGTGTGTGTGTGTGTGTGTGTGTGTGTGTGTGTGTGTCTGTGTCTGTGTCTGTATGTATGTATGTGTGTGCCACAGTGCACACATGGAAGTCAGAGGACAAATTTTGGGAGTTGGACCTTTCTTCCACCATGTGGATCCCAGAGATTGAGCTCAGGTTGTCAGGCTTGGCAACAAGCATCTTATCCCCTGATCCATCTTGCTAGTCCCCGTTTTTTTAAAAAATTATTCATTAAGGTTTTATTTTATGTGTATGAGTGTATTGCCTGAATGTATGTAAGTGCACCTGTGTCATGCAATGTCCGAGGAGATCAGAAGAGGGCATCAGACCCCTGGAACAGTTGTTACCCACCATGTGGGGGCTGGGATTCAAACCTAGGTCTTCTGAAAGAGCAGTCAGTGCTCTTAACCACTGAGCCGTCTCTCCATATGCCCCCCCCCACAATAGGGTCTTCCTGTAAGCCCAGCTGGCCTGGAACTCATTGTGTAGATCAGGCTGGCCTCGATCTAACAGAGGTCTACCTGCCTCTGCTTCCTGAGTGCTGGGATTAAAGGCATGCACTACCATGCCTGGCCTCTTTTTTTTTGGAGTTAGGGTCTCACTATGTAACCCTGACTGAACTGGAACTTGCTATGTAGACCAGGCTGGCCTTGAAGTCACAGAGCGCTACCTGCCTCTGCCTCTGCCTCTGCCTCCTGAGTGTTGAGAGTAAAGGCATGTGTCACCACTCCTGGCTCTTAGCCCTAAAATTCTTTATGAAAGAAATATATTTTATTTACACAGGTTGGCATTTTTTTTCCTATTAAGAGAATATTACAAAATTCAGTGACAAAATTGCAGTCAGTTCTCTATTCAATACCATCCTTAGCACTGTCATATCAAAGCAAGAATGCTTCTTGCTGTTTATTGGCAAGGATTTTTCTCAAATCTGTACTGAAATTTTCTCTTCATTTTTTTTTCTTTCTGGTAATATATATTTTTTCAGTGCTGGGAACTGAACTTAGAGCCTCACACATGCTAGGCAAGCGCTGTACCACTATTCTATGTTTCCAGCCCAATATACTGATTTTTCAAGGACGCTTGTTGACTGGGGGAAAGACTGGTGATGGACTGTCCTGGAAATGCCCAACTCAACTATATCTCCCTGAATGACTTTAGGAAAGTCCCTTGGGCTGTTTGAATCTTAGCTGACTCATTTGTAAAATGGAGACAATAACACCTACTTCATAGTATCCACTAAGAGAGACTATGAATATCGTCTACCATGCCCAGCTTCAAAGTGGTAACTACACACACACACACACACACACACACACACACACACACACACACACCTCTTGCTTCTTTCTATTCTGTCAGATGATGAGTGCTTCACATGGCGAGCAAGTAAGGAAAAGGGCTGGGTGTGGTGGTATACACATGTAATCACAGCTCTCAGGAGGCAGGAGGATCACTCTAAGTTTGAGGCCAGTCTCATCTACATAGTACATGTCAGCCTGACAGGGCTACGTAGTTAGACCTTGTTTCAAAAACTAAAACACAAATAAGAAAGGAAAAGGACAGGTGTCACTACATCGTGAGCGCCACATCATGCTTAAGCTTAGCACTCCCTTCTCTGGGTGCTATAAATTCCACACACACATTACAGCTATGATAACTAACCAAGGAAAGAATGAAGGCTGAAGTTTCCAAAGAGAGTTAATTAAATCTGAACTGGCAAAATCATTTCCTTTCCTGCGTGTAGTTTTACCAAAAAAAAAAAAAAAAAAAAAAAAGAAGCCCTCAATTATCAATATTAAGGCCTTGTTATCAGTGAGGTGAATTTTCCTGGGTCAAATTACAACCA